ACTGACTTTGACCGTTTTCGAAACTTTAATTGTTAATAACTTTTTAATCAAGGGTGTGCAAATAAAAAGTCGACCTGTTTGTGATTGTGCAAACGAAAATCTATCGATTAATGCCATTTTAAATACAGTATTCGTGTTTTGAACTTATCTACTTACTTTGACCATTTTTGAAACTTTAATTGTTAATAACTTTTTAACCAAGGGTGTGCAAACGAAAAATTGACCTGTTTCGAAATGTGCAAACAAAAATCTGTCGATTAAGACTATTTGGATCTAATTTGCTCGTAGTTGGGGGGCTAATGTGAAGTTGGCCCCCCCAAAATTGTTTTGTTAATAACTTTTTTACTAGAAGTGTGCAAACGAAAATTTGAAATGTGCATACATGTGCAAACGATAAGCAATCAAATGAGTTAAAAAAAATCAATTTTTTTTAAAGTTGGGGGGCTAACTTCACACGGGTGGTGTGCGTGAACCTCGGTTCGCGTGGAAAGTGTATGCGCCCTTAATCTAGACATTTATAAAAAATAAAGTAAAAATAGGTAAAAAAAATAGGTAGGGTGCATATTTTTCGGGCTCCCCCGATTGATTATCACTGTCGGAGTCACAACAAAGGTTTTTACCAAGAAAACCGCAAGAAAATATCAAAATTCGGAAAAGGCCCTATTCTGAAGAATTACCTATTAGCAATAGATAAAGAGAATCATAATTACATAACGCTAGAGGAACGCGATTTAAACGACTGTAAACGAAACGGAGTAAAATACGTATGTAACCGAAACTACCCGGTATATTTTGTAAAAGCCGACGCACCATGCGAAGTACAAGTTTACGTAAAAACGCCAGGATATGTAAACACCTGCGAGAAACGTCAAATAATGTCAAACGTAACCTTATGGATAACATTAAGCGAACCACAAACGTGGCTATTCTCAACGCCGAAAAAACAACAGCTGACGATTCAATGTAATGAACAAGCAGAACAAAAAATAGAAATAGAAAGAACAGGGAAACTAAGTATAATCGAAAATTGTAAACTAACCACACCCGACATTATTATAAAAACAAAAAGACAAACGACTATGAGACAAATAGAAATGCACTTAGCAGATTTTAACCTAACGCTAACAAACAAAAATAAAAATATTAACAAACAAGCGAAAAAAAAAATTAGATTAGAACTTGTAATTAGGAATCCGAACGAATTAATGGAATTAAGTCTAGAAATAAGCGACATCAATAAAGAATTGGAAAAATCCCAAGACACCCTAATAAAAAATCCCTACGTCATATATCCCGTAGGATCGACACTCACGTTAATAATTATATTAAGCATAGTAGGAATAATCATCTATGTAATAAAAAGACATAAGAAACGAGCAAGCGCCCGACCGCACGTACAAGGCGACTCAGCGATACTATACTAGAAAATAAGAAGAATGTAATCTCAGAAACAAATAAAGAAAATAAATCACCCTAACAGAAATAGAAATAGGATAAGCAGCGGAAAATTGTAGCAAAAACTACAGACCGTAGTTTCCTTCTCTCAAAGGGGGAGGGATGTTGCGGCCCCAATTAAAATGTAATAATAAAATAAGAATAGTATTAAGAAAGACCGAGAATAACAATAGGGAACGCGACCGCGAAAGCCCGAGAGAATTACGCAACGCCGAATCAGCAAAAGATGAGTTGCGCGATCGGCCCAGATACGATCGAGCAACTCAGCGATATTGAAGGACAAGACGAGGATTCAAAAGGAAGCGACAACAGGAAACGAGAGGGCAATGGCCGCATTCAGGAAACACAACTGTTGAGTGAGCGGTCAGTGATTCTTTAATATGATTGGTTCTTACCTTTGGTTCTACTCCGGATATAAATGTAAGAACCAATCATAAGGAGCGCTCACTCAACAGTTGTGTTTCCTGAACGCGGCCAATCGGAGTCAGGGAGCAGAGCAGTAACGGGCATCAAACGCGAATAACGATTGTAACGCAGAGTGATTATTAAAAGTTACTTTTTATTCCAAAGTGCCGTTTAATTATATATATATCCCGCATCCTCCGTGGATAGGACCATATGAAGTAATCGAAAAACATTCAGACGTCAATTACACGATCAAAAAGGGACGGAAAACCACGCGAGTACACGTAAACCGATTAAAGCCTTTTATAGAACAGTAAAAACAGTGGAAAAGAACAAAAACAACCAATAGAAAGTAGGCAATAGAAAATGAGACAACAAAGAATGAGACTTAAATTAAAAACAGTACATGTCACAAAAAAAATAATAACGAAAAAGATAAGATGACATTATCGTCAATCAATGTGACGATTATTGTAGGTATAAACTAATATTCGTTCATTAAAACTTTTTAAAAGCATAATAAAACAATTTCAAAAAAATCCCCATATACATTCAACGTCAGGTATATCTTTTTCACTTCAATAACAATCACCAAACATTTTTGATAAAACTGAGAGAAAAATAAAATAAATATAAGCTGTAAGATCCTTATCTGATATATTATTGGCATTTCCTTAACTATAATCACTAGTCAGAAAGCAAAAATATTTAGTTATAATGTATCCGACTATATTATGTGTATTATATGTATCCGAATAATTCAAAATATCAAAGTGAAAAGATATATACATATAGCATTGAATATAACTCACTCTATTCCTACAGTCCTTAAATCTTTCCACAGTCTCTCTCTCTCTTTCTCTCTCTCTCCCTCTCTCCCCCCTCCCTCTTAAAGTCAATGTATATAAATTTCCGTGAAAAACAAGATTTTACTAAAAGTTACAATTGTATTGACAAGTAATTCATTTCAATTCTAAAAAAAAGATTAACTTAAGAGATACATTCCACTTATTCTCAAATATTACAAAGAAATATATTTTTATTCCCCCTCCTGCTTAACTTTCCTCGGAAATTATAATTTGATAATGATTTTACCTTCAAAGTATCAAAGCGTCTCTTGTTTCCGTGACCTTGTAGACTGAACTTTGATGCCAGAGTATTAGTTACAAGTTTCGCCAATATGCTTCTGACTGAATTTTCCACACTTTTTTTGTCTACATTCTTGCTAAGATAGGAACACTGAAATCATATTTAAAAAAATTGGTTTACAAAAATATAAAAACTAAAAGTAATGTATCACGTACCACTTCAAAAAATGTTGTTGCAAAAAATTTTGAAACTTAAAATACAATATCAATGATGTATGTTTTACACATAAAAAAAGTTCAAGAAATATCTTAATGGTTTATTTATATTTTATTTATATTTACAGCAAAAATGTCGATTCTCTATAAGGGATAATGTTAATTTTATCAACTTTAAACTTAAATAACTCTTAAATAATTTCAAAATTTTACAGAGTATTTTTAATTTAATTTAGAAACAATTTACAGCACTTTCTGAATATATTTGAAATACCTCCAATACATCCTTAAATACAATAACTTTTAAACCAGTAAGAGAATTGTGCTGAAATTTTACACAGATACTTAGACGTAATAATAGAACAATCTAGGAAATTTTTAGATTTTTGGTAATGCTTTAAGATGTCACCCATTGGTTGCAATCGAATAGTTTTAGAGTAGCATAGTTTTGTTTTTCGTTTGTTTCTCTCCGCGAGATGGAGCTCTGAGTTGCCACTTAAGGGGAACAGTTAGTCTCACCAAAGATTCCGAGCGGTACGCATCGCGAATGTAGTCCGTCTCACGTAAGATTTCCTACCGGTACGCCTCGCGATATCAGTCAAAGCGATTTCTTGTATAAATAAAGTTTTTGTACTCAGCAAGAAGTGTAGTGCTTCCGAAAATCACCCTTGCCCTACCAGATCCACACTAACTAACAAAACATTGGTCCTTCGAGCCGGATCTGGGCGAGGCGCGGTTTTCTCGTGCAAATCGGTTTTCGAGTCGCGAACGACCGAGTGTACAAAGACGAAAGACGAGTATACGTGCGCGGTGAGAACAGTTTTCGCGTGATTAGACGAGCATAATTCCGTCAAGCCGAAAGGTCGCGTCGTTGTTGGCCTCACGTAACGGTCAAGCAAAATGTCGGCGTTCGAGAAGCTCGTAAGAAAGCGGGCGTACATAAAAGGGCGCGTTACTTCCATAAACCGATGGATCCAAACGTGCGTCATTTCCGAATCAACGGAGCACGAGATCGATACGTTTTTAAGCGCACTGGATCGACATCTCAAGGATTTCTCGCAGATACAGGACCAAATCGACGAACAAGATGGCGTATCTGGCGACGAGCAACAGAAGGAACGTGGCGATTTCGAAGACGGCCATCTTAAGACCGAGTCGTCCCTCCGTTTGTTGCAAGCACGAACTCGAGCGGCGCAACAGGCGACCGCAGCCGCAGCGCCATCCAACGCCGCGCAACGAAGCCAGTCATCAAACACACCGACGACTGCATCTGTCAAACTTCCCGAGATCAAACTAACCCCATTCGACGGTGAATGGGAGAACTGGTTGACTTTCAAGAATATATTCACGGAGCTTATCCAAAACAATGTGCGATTGAACGACACACAGCGGTTCTATTACTTACAGTCATACGTAAGCGCGGGATCGGCGAGGCAATACGTCGAACTTCCGCTCACCGCCGAAAACTATGCCGTCGCGTGGCAGCAGCTGACGCAGCATTACGATAACGAAGCTCGCATTATAAAGAAACACATCAAGAATTTCTACGATTTGAAGATAACACAAGAAGACTCCGCATCATCCTTGCAGACTCTGATCGACGGAGTGCGGCGAAATTATCATGCCTTGAAGGCTCTCAAGCAACCGGTTGACAAGTGGGATGCGTTTCTCACGTATCATATTACGATTAAACTCGATGCAGCGTCAAGAAAGGAGATCGAATCAAAGGCTCCGACCGACAGAATACAAACCTTCGAGGAAATCATGACAGTGCTGGAAGAACGAGTGCGCGTGTTAGAGGCAATTGCGACAAGTGCGCGCGCGAAACCGGAAAGGTCCAGTAAGGCCTTTGTAACTACATCAAAGGTTATGTGTGGCATATGTCAAGCGCTCTTCAGTGTTCAAGTGCAAGAAGCTAACGGACCTGCCGGTAAATCAAAGAATAGCGACAGCGCGTAAATTAAATTTCTGCATTAATTGTTTAGGCAATTCACATCGTGCAATAGATTGCAAATCCGGAGGCTGCCGAATCTGTCAAAGGCGACATCACACGCTGCTCCATTTGAAAACAAACGCGCTCGAGTCTCCGACACAGCCAAACGCGATCGACACAAAGGATGCCTCGTCTAACGGAAGTAAACAAGAAGCTAACGTGAGCTCATCGACAACGACTTGCAATTTGAATGTTCGTCCGGAACCTAAAGTCAAGCAAGTATTACTAGCTACTGCGATAATCAAAATTTATGATTTTAGTGGACAGGAGCATCTAGCTCGAGCACTCCTTGACGGGTGCTCTCAAAACAGCTTTATAACTACACGCATGTATCAAACGTTGCGACTGAAGGGAAGAAGGGTTAACCTTCAAGTAACTGGATTGAATGATGCTCAAACACGGGCACATATTATTGTGCGCACAACTATAGGATCACGCATCTCGTCTTTTAGAACACCTCTTGAACTGCTAGTTACAGAACACATCACTCAGAATATGCCGATCTGCCCCATCGAGGATGCTATGCAGATTCCGACGACCGTTCAATTGGCTGATTCGCAATTTCACACGCCCTCCAAGATTGACTTGCTAATTGGAGCCAATATTTTCTGGGATCTACTCACGGGAGATCAAATCGCGATGAAGCATGGATTTCCAAAACTACATGGCACGGTCATAGGTCACATAATAGGAGGACGAATTCTGGAGCAAAAACGCCAGCCGAAACTGACAGTGTCACTTGCATGTACGGTGAATAATTTGAACGAGCAAATACAAAGATTCTGGTTGCAAGAGGAAGTGATCAAGGATCGGGCATTATCACTCGAAGAAAGGGAGTGCAAGCTACATTACAAGCAAACAACGGTGAGAAAGCCGGACGGAAGATACTCCGTGTCATACCTTACGAAGCCGGAGATCACGAATCTCTCCGATACCAAGATGGCAGCATTGCAGCAGTTTCTTCGGTTGGAGCAACGATTACGAAGAGAACCTGAAATACAGAAATTGTACCACGACTTCATGCAAGAATACATCGACTTAAAGCACATGGAGCCGGTAAACGAGACATCTGATTCTGAGCCAAAGGCGGTGCAATATTACTTGCCGCATCACCACGTTCTTAAGCCCAGTAGTACTACTACAAAACTACGAGTGGTTTTTAATGCCTCGTTTAAGATAGAACCACATCTATCACTTAACGACGTTCTGAAGGTAGGTCCCCAGACCTATTTACCGTAATTCTTCGTTTCAGAACTTACATATACGCACTGACGGCCGACATCATTAAGATGTACAGGCAGATAGAAATACACAAGGATCAAAGATGTTTACAACGCATTTGGTGGCGTCCTAATTTTCTTGCAGAGATTCTCAGTTATCAGCTTAACACTGTGACATACGGAGAGGCCGACGCTCAGTTTCTAGCAACACAGACGGTACAACAATTAGCCGAAGATGAAATGAAGGATTTCCCTGAGGCCGCTCGCGCAGTGATTGAAGATTCTTACGTTGACGACGTCACAACGGGAGCGTCGACGATTCAGCGACTTAAGGATTTGCAGCAACAATTACAATCTCTCATGCGGCAAGGCGGATTCGAACTACACAAGTGGGCATCCAATTGCAACGAGGTGTCTACGAATCCTGCAAGCAGCGTTGCCTTTCCCAAGGCTGATCAAACTCGCACACTAGGACTGATCTGGCAAACTGGAGACGATCAATTCGTACTAACGTGGGACAAGGTCGAGGAACGCCACAACTACTCGAAGAGAATGATCCTGTCTGAAATAGCTAAACTTTACGATCCTCTTGGACTCAGCGCACCATTGGTATTCTGGGCCAAGGTGTTAATGCAAGAATTGTGGAAGATTACAGATCTCCAATGGGACGGCTCTCTACCAGAACCATTACAAGAAAAATGGATAACTTTCCGCAAGCAGCTCAATGTTTTAGTGGAAATCAAAATACCAAGATGTGCCCTCCTTCCGAATGCCGTCGCACTGGAACTTCATGGATTCGGGGACGCGTCTGAGCTCGGTTTCGGATGTTGCATTTATCTAAGGGCTCTTGATCAAATTGGCAACTACAACATAAATCTTTTGTGCGCTAAATCTAGAGTCGCGCCGCTGAAGAAGACTACCATTCCAAGACTGGAACTTCAAGCCGCGCTCCTACTAGCGGAGCTCGCCGCGAAGGTGACCGGCGCAATAGCATTGGTCTATCGACTCATCTGCCTCTGGACGGATTCAACAATTACTCTATATCGTATTCGATCGCAATCAAGTCGCTATACAACTTACGTGGCAAATAGGATTGCCCGCATACAAGAATTGAGCACGCCGGAGCAATGGAGACACGTTCCAGGCGAACTGAACCCGGCGGACTTGGTATCTCGGGGCCTTCTACCAGAGGCTCTCAGTAAGGCAGATAATTGGTTTCACGGGCCTGCCTTCCTAAAGTACGAAGAATCCGAATGGCCATCCCTACGGCTAGGGCGGACGGAATCCAACGACCAGACTGACGAGGAATTGAAAAAGGCCATCAACGTATCTTGCATAGCGGCGGTAGCGGATCCCGTGATGAATTACTCGAGCTACACGAAAACGTTGCGAATCAGTGCCCGTTGCCGCAGATTCGTTGCAAATTGCAAAGCGACGCGAGACAGAAGAGACTATGGCCCTCTATCAGCCTCTGAATTGAATGAGGCCTTGCTGGGATTGATACGAGCTGCACAATCTGAGGACTTCGCTCAGGACATCAAGAAATTACGAGAATACGGTACTACTGATTACAAGGGCAGAGTGCAGTCCTTTCGTCCCTACCTCGATGAACATCACCTTCTTCGTGTAGGAGGTCGACTCCAGAACTCCGATCTGGAAGATAATCAGCGTCATCCGATGCTGCTACATGCGAAAAATAAACTAAGTAGACTAATCGCTCGACACTATCATAAAGCAAACCTGCACGCGGGACCTCAAGCCTTACACCCTGCGGCAGCAATTTTGGATCATCGACGGACGCAACTTGTGTCGAAAAACGGTGCATAACTGCGTGCGCTGTTTCCGGGCGAAACCTATCATAGCGGAGCAAGTGATGGGCCAATTACCAGCAGCCAGAATACAGCCAGCTCGACCCTTTCTCCGAGTAGGCATTGATTTCTGTGGCCCGTTCAACTGTAAACCAAGGATACGGAGCAAGGCAATTTTCAAAACATACGTTTGCGTATTTCTGTGTTTCGCCACCAAGGCGGTTCACATGGAAATAGTCAACGACCTTACCACGGATGCATTTTTGGCAGCATTGAGGAGATTTGTCGCTAGGCGAGGTCGATGCACGGATATATTCAGCGACAATGCCACGAACTTCGTTGGAGGCAATCGCGCACTCCAGGAGCTTTATGAACTATTCCAAAATACAGAACACCAGGAGATCGTACAGCGATTCTGCGCAAATGAGGGCATCACTTGGCATATGATCCCTCCTAATTCTCCACACTTTGGTGGCCTGTGGGAGTCGGCGGTAAAGGCAGCTAAGCATCACATGCGCAGAGCTCTCGGAACAGCCTCATTCACGACAGAAGAACTGGGAACTGTCGTGACACAAATTGAAGCCTGCCTAAATTCCAGACCCCTCTCTCCCATGTCCTCCGATCCCTCTGATCTCGAACCTTTAACTTCTGGGCACTTTTTAATAGGTGCTCCATTAAACTCAATCATAGAACCCGATCTAACCGAACTAAAGCTAAACAGATTATCCCGATGGCAACTCATCCAACGCACGGTGCAAGAGTTTTGGAGACGATGGTCCAACGAGTACCTTAGCGAACTCCAATCTCTGAAGAAGTGGACGACGGTGCAGCCCAATATCCAGCCAGGATCGATGGTGTTGCTGAAGGAAGACAATGTCCCTCCAATGAAATGGTTGCTGGGGCGAATAGTAGAGACCTTCCCGGGGCGCGATGGTTTAACGCGAGTTGTATCAGTTCGCACCGCGCATGGAACTTATAAACGTAGCATAACAAAAACTTGTATCCTTCCGATGGATAATGATTAATCTTTATGTTGAAATCGTCATTTCAAGGCGGCCGGCATGGTTGCAATCGAATAGTTTTAGAGTAGCATAGTTTTGTTTTTCGTTTGTTTCTCTCCGCGAGATGGAGCTCTGAGTTGCCACTTAAGGGGAACAGTTAGTCTCACCAAAGATTCCGAGCGGTACGCATCGCGAATGTAGTCCGTCTCACGTAAGATTTCCTACCGGTACGCCTCGCGATATCAGTCAAAGCGATTTCTTGTATAAATAAAGTTTTTGTACTCAGCAAGAAGTGTAGTGCTTCCGAAAATCACCCTTGCCCTACCAGATCCACACTAACTAACAAAACACCCATACATCCTTAAATAGTATATCATTCAACAATATTTCATTGATAATGTATAGAATATAAATATAAGTATACAGAAGGTCACACTAAGGAAACTTGATAGCAAGAAGTTTACACCACAAACAATATCCGAAAGCTTTGATCAAATAAATATCTATCAAATATACTTTTCAAGATGAATAAAATCTGTTCTAGCATAAAAGGATTATTTATTAACAATACAGGCTTTAGATTGAAGTACAGATGGTGATATAGTAGGACATCTATGTAAATATTTATTAATTATCTATAAAGCAGCTATACTTTGCTTAAGGATACATTAATGTGAAATACTATATGAAAATAAATTGTACTCACTGCCGCAGTCAAGTTACTATTATTGGCTAGGAATTTCTCCAACCTATCCAAATCTTCAAAGGTGTTAATAGGCAATGGAGGCATTTTACCAGGACGCTTTATAACTTTTTCTCCTGGAATAATGAAAGATTTTCCTGATTCATGATAGATATATCAAGTTTACTGCTCACTCTTCTGATCTCTCACTTGCATTCTATGATGGCTGTTTTTATTGAAGTCAATTCTAGAGGAGAAAGACAACAGAAATTAATTGTAAAGAAATTAGGAAGTCGGAAAATTTAATGGATTAGATAAAAAATCCACCTGTGCAAAGAGATTGTGCTGAGCTGTCCAAAATAAATTTTTTTTCGATGAAGCGTATTCTGTATTTGTAGAGTCTAAAAAAATAAGAAAATTATGACATTAATAAACTAATAGAAATAATACATTCTTGTGGAAAAAGGATATAGGAAATAATAAAAGGACTTACCTTTAGAAGTGTGAGAACTATATCTGTCTTCTCTTTCTCTTTCAATATTGTATTTTTGTACATATGCAGATGATTTGCTGGACGTAGTATCAGGCGAGTCAGGACATGATACAGAATCTCTAGAACTTGACGAATGTTCCATAGTAACTTGTTTGACAGGTGGGCTAATACAACTTGTATTAATAAAAGACTTTAATTTATTTGCCATCGTCGAACTCTTTTTTGAAAATCCTCCTTTGCTCTGTGGTGTTAGCTTATGAACTTTTTTCTTTTCCTTTTCTTGCAAATCATGATATGAATTTGAATGAGGTGCCACATGTGAGGCAGACTCATTCTGCTCCTTGTTTGGTTCAAAACATTCTCTCTGGCTTTCTCCGTCTTTATTGTATGAGAAACTATTCTTTTTATCCAGGATTGTTTTCTTCCTGTCAGATGTCTGCTTCTTCAGATTTTTTATTTGTTCTAATTTCCCGAAGAAGTTCAGAATTTTTATCAGATTAACCTGAATCAGAGGCTGTCTCAATAGAGATTTTATTTTCTTCATTGGTTGATTCACAAGCGGACGAGTTCTCACGATTCTTTTGGAAAACAATATTATCTTGTCTTTTTTTAGGGAACTGTTTAGATATCACATATTTTGGATTATAATTTTGTGAATCTTTACTTGACGAGCGGACCTGGCAATCAGATAATAGCACCTGAGAAGGTGGAGGTATTTTCTCTTCAAGCTTATGTTTCATCGTCCTTTTGTTCTTCCTCGCGTCATCAAATTCCGAGTCTGATTCTGAGCTTATCTTTGGCTTTTTTTTTTCCGTAATCCCCGCCCTAATTCCGCATCGGATTCATAATTTGAATCTTTAGCATACTTTTTGCACGCCTGAGAGGCCTTCAGGTAGGTATCTATAATAAAAGTGTGTGACGATACGCGTATTCGTCACTAGCGCTACGGCCCTGGCGGTCACCAAGCACATGTTCAGCGTGCGCTCTTGTGCCCGAGCGGTGGGGCGGCCGAGCGGTGGGGCGGCGGCCGAGCGGTGGGGCAGCCCCAGCGGTGGGACAACCCCCACCGCCCGCACTCGGGGTATAAATAGGGGACTCGAGCCGACCAGAGTTGCCATTTCCTGAGCCTGGTAGCATTCGGTCGCATATGGAGGGGATGGAGTGGGGATGGCCCTCGTGACTGCCCGTGACGTCACGTACCGCACACAAGCCACGTACCGTCGTACATGTGCGCTCGCGGCTTCGGGCAACGTCGAGTAACATCTCTCTACCGGGCCGCTCGAGCGCGGCGCTGACGATACGTTCAATAAAGAAAGAGTTAACGAAATCCACATTATAAGTAATTAGTTTTGAACAGTAAAAATATTTAGATATACATATTCTTTGTACATAATATATTTTTTATATGTATATAATAATATTATAAAAATCCCAAAACAAAAAATAATGAAATGCCACTCTTGGCCAACGTGTACGTTTTGTTTAATGCCATATTAAATATATTTTAAAAACATTTTTTTTAATAAAAATTTTGAAAACATTTCTTAATAAAAATGAAGTAATAATTTTTTAATAAGTAGAATAACTTTTTTTAAAATTAAGATCGGTATTTATATGTCGTATTTATATTACATGTACAACGTACATGTTGTTGCTCGACGGAAACCGCGAGAAGGTGGTGGTCTCTTCCGTCATGAAGTTTAAACAATTGTTATTAATTAATAAAAAATTTAATTAGAAAATTTTATAATTGTAATGCACACAAATTATTGCACACAAATATATTCAAACATAATATTAATACAATATATACAATACAACATATTACAATATAATACAACATATTAAACAAACAATTGTTTATACTTCCTATTCACTGAGCTCTCCTAATATAAGATAAAAAGTAAAATGAAAAAAAAAAAGAAAGTTATTGCAAATCGAAACTGAATAATGGATATAAGATTTTATTTACATCTGCAAATATTTTTTGTTATTTGTTTCTCTTTTGGACATTATTTTTAGTGCGCTGAAGACGAAGGACCAGCAACTTCATCTGCAGCATATAAAGTAAGACTACTTTTTCGTTTTTTACAATTTGCATATAATACATCGGACGACATTCGAGACAAATGTTCTTTAGTTACTTTCAAGTTGATAGCTGTTTCGCCCCTCGCCTTCAACGTTGATTTTATTACGCAATTAGCATTAACAGTTTGTTGCGTTTCTTAGATTTTAAATCAGTTAAAATGGAAAACATTCTCTCTGGATCTGCATTGGAATTAGGGAGTGACCTAACAGCGCTTACAAGATTTGACAGCGAATATCTAAAGTCTCAGGATCAACGTATTGAACAAAAAACGTCATCCATTTTTCATTACATATATCCGACGTTTCGTTTACGAAAATAGAGAATTTTGTTCTCTGAAGTTTCTTTGCGAGTTGTTCAGTTTCAACCGGGCACAAAACATTCGAAAGAATCTTTCCCAAAACTTTCCCGCCCTCTAAAGGTTAACAAACGTTTTGACGTCTTGTTGATTGCCGTTGTGTCGCAGAGCTCTCCAAATAACTTGATTGTCCTCGTGTATCACGGTAATTCCATCACGGTAGATCACCATAATTTTTCCATACGCACATATACACGCAGATAGAGAGGGTTTGGAGTCATTAAATACTGTGGAAGTGACAAACCACGGGGTCCTGATCTCTTTCTGTAATACATAGACACACAGCACATACCATTTGCTTTTTTTTATTTTTTTATTTTTTTTCTTCACTTATTTCTTTCTCTTTTTGTTTTATTTCGCTTTTTTCGATATGGAAGCGTGTGATGAATTGCGCAAAAAACCTAAGCGAAGTTTTGTAGAAGCTTGGCTTAGTGACGAGCGTTATAAATCATGGATACGTAAAGTATCATCTGACGAAAGTCTCTACTTTTGTACTGTGTGCAATGAAAGTTTTTCATGCAATGCAGCACATGTTTCCAGATATGCGGATTCTGCGTGTCACAGAAACAATTTAAAAAAAAACGTCTTTCCATCATTATCTAATGATGAAACTATTCATAATAACAATATAAGTAAGCCAGTTTTTAATTACGGATGGCTGGATATTGAGAATTTTAAATTATGGTTGCGTGCGGTTCCGCGTGACAAAAGTGCATGTTATTGTGCAATATGCGACAAACATTTTGCTGCTCGCTTAGTGCAGGTTCGTCGACATGCAGAATCCAAAAGTCACATAAATTTATGCCAAATACAAGGTATCGAAGCGGGTAAATCAAATGATGATTTTGTTACGCAAGATAATGAATTTTTTCTGTCGGTTGATGAGCGTACAAAATCAGCGGAAATACAGTTTGCCGCTTTAATTGCAGAAATTAATTTACCTCATCAGAATGCAGAAAAGATTCTGAGGTTCTTTCAACACATAGGAGAAGATCTTATTGCGTTGAAAAATATGAAAATGGGTCGAACAAAATGCACAAAGATTCTTTCGAATGTTTTGTGCCCGGTTGAAACTGAACAACTTGCAAAGAAACTTCAGAGAACAAAATTCTCTATTTTCGTAGACGAAACGTCGGATATATCTAATGAAAAATGGATGACGTTTTTTGTTCGATACGTTGATCCTGAGACTTTAGATATTCGCTCACAATTAGTGAAATTGATAAATATTGATGCAAGAGATTCGAGCGCTGAGAAGTTATTCCATGCATTTCAGTCAGAAATGTGGAAGCTACAGATTCCTTTTACAAATATAATTGCATTATCATGCGATAATGCATCAGTTATGACCGGAAAACACTCATCCTTTAAAACAAAATTGAAAAAATGGTGCAAGCGACTCCTA